GTCCGGTCTATAAAATATACAAATAGGTGGGAAAACGGGGGCCTAAAAGAGTATATTTACCAACTACTTGCTCTTCTGCTGCTTCTTTTGCTCGATATACTTGGCGTTTCGGGCGGTCGGCTTGCGGGGACGGCTGTTGCTCTTCTACTTCTAAAGGTACCAGTCAGGACCCATTGCTTTCTTGACGTGCGCCAGGCTTTCCTTGCGGCGCACTTCGGCCGAATCAGGTGGTGGGGGCTTTTCCTCCCAGAGCTTGACCGCTTTTGGGCCGTTCTCGCAGGCAAATACAGCGCCGCACGATGTCCCGCCCGCTGATTGTACGGAATGCGTAGCCGTACTGCAGCTTCCCGCAGCAGACGCAGCGCGCCCGGGAATCCGTCGTAGACCGCTGCGGGCTCAACGGAAGCGGGTCAATCTTCGCCTTGCTTGCACGTAGGGCCCATCATTTTGCAAACTGTGCGTATGTTAGCAAATTATATTGTTTTAATCAATTACTTTCGTCCAAATATTAGCCAATAGCACGGCACTGTAGGGCTGGTATTTAATTTTAAGCAAAATATAAAAATTTGACATATAATATTTTGGTTTTGCTATAAGAATACTTTTATCATATTTTCAAACAAATACATACTTTACATGCAATAAAAGTGACTAAAAGACTATGTACCGTGCGCGCATGCATTCGTCGGGTGGGGTGCACGGGAGCAGATAGCTTATTGACCGTGCAGCCGCGCGCCTTCATTGCACGGTGGCAGTGGTGAGTGCCAGGTGAAGTAAAAAAGATATATATTCGCAAAGTCCCCACAAAAAGCGCTGGTCGTGAAGCCTACTTTAAAATTAAAAAATACTATCGTCTCTACTTTAATGAGTGTGTGTGGAAAATAGCATCGCCGAGCTCTTACAAATGCGGCCTGTGAAGCTTATATTAATAATATTAATACTTTTAATATCGTTTTTACTTTGAAAAGTGTGCGAAAAATAACATCCTAGAGCTCTTACAAAATACTGGTCTGTGAAGTCTACATTAATAATAATAGATATCTCTATTTAAGAAGTGTGCAGAGCTCTTAAAAAAATAGGGTTACTGTGCCCGATTTGCAGTACATACGGCAGGTTTTGCGTAGCTAAACGTCAATAATCAATCATCTGCGCAGCTCGCCTGGCTGTTTGCAGCCAATCGATGTGTTTCATTCTCGGCAGAAATGTTTACCTTACGTCCAATCGCGAGGGCGAGAGGCGGTCTGATCGTGCGACAGATCCAGTCAGTGTCGCAGGTCGGCAGGTATTGCCCAATCAGGGCGCGAGTTAATTGTGTCCGCTTTTTGGTCATAATTGTAATTTAGGCATAGCTAAGTCGAAACAGAAAGATAGGCGCGGTCAGTAAGAAGGGACGTAGATGTATTAGACAGGTCGGGTGTAGCCATGCGAAAATGCAGGAAAAGCAGCAAGAGAGGAAAGCGACGGACTGATTGACAGACGGACGGACGGACGGACAGACAGGTTACTCGGTGAGGAAGCAGGAAATGTACAGATCGCGGCTATATGAAATCAGTTGGAATAATAACCTTAGTGAAACTAAGATGCTTTATTTTAAGTCAGCCAAGAAATCTGTCGGGTACCCCCCCCCCGAGAATTTGTCAAAATCTGTCGGTGGGCGAATGCCCAGATTGGCCTTGATTGGTCGTTCTATGGTCATTTAGCCAAAGTCTGACCGAAATCAGGGCGACAGATTTTGCGGGCACCCCGCAAGCCGAGGTGTATGTATTGTGTATTTTGACGACTTTGTTTTACTTGGGTGGCGTTAATGCAACGTTATATAACCCTATTAAAACTTCACGACGTGGTTTTAGCGCAACGCTAGCGACGTTAAACTGGTTTTTACTGGTTTATCGGTGTTCAAAAAGTAACAAAAGAAGCAAATTAGACGACAGATTTTCACCAAAATAGAGACAATTGTTACCCGAATATTGCAAGCATTTAAAACTGCCCCCTAATTTTCTCCGACTACAAATCTCAAAACCTACTTTTAGCGACGATGAAGGACCGCGCAGGCGCTGACTCCAGGTGACGAAGGAGCAACTAGACCACTGTCGACTCCGCGACTTGCGCAACTGCTTGCTTGTTCTCGAGTCCAAGTTATAGCAACTATTCAGGAGAAATTAGTGGAAATGGAGGAGTACATGCGCAAGCTGTCGGCAGTTCAGGGCGAGCTTAAAGATCTTCTGGACCAAGAAATTGAATGTGCGAGCGAGCTGTCCTCCCTGGCGTTTTACGAGGCGTCTTTGGGCGACAAATACGTCCCCTCGCTGTTAGTGCTCCTGGCCAAATACCGCAAGGCGATACAAGACACGTGAGCCTGCTATAGTCAAGTTACCGTTGCTCCCATATAACGTTGTTTTTATAACGTTGCTGAATTTAACGTCGTTCCTATGTAACGTCGTCTACAGATTAACGTTGCTTTTCTTGGTCGATAGTATAGTGCACTTCTCTGTAGAGATCACCATGCGAGCACGAAGCACCAACACGGACTCTTTTAGTTGGATTTTATGACAGAGTGATCTCGACGCCATGGTCAACAGCGAAAAAGGCAAGACGCCGCCTCAGGACGCTCCAAGACGCATAAGGAGAGCAAGACGACGCCGATCTGGTCGGATGCAGCCGCAGCGTGGTCAGCGCCCACAGACACAATCTCGTGCTGTCCAAGTTCAAGCCCGTCCTGCTCAAGCTTCAGTCAAAGTTATTGACTTGTCTCAAGAGGGCGTTATTGATTTAACAAACGATTCGGACCAAGATTACGATGACAACGTTCAGAAAATACGAGCTAAAGTTGAAGTGACATTGAACTTCGTAACAGCCAATATATTTCAATTTGTTTCAGATTTTTTTCTTGCTAACCTTTGCGAAAGCACTGGCCAGCTGCTTGCATATCTGTTTTCCCGGCCGCCTCTACAGGCTCACTGCGTGATCTGGATAAGATAGTTCACATCAATCTCAGCCGCATCACTTTAATAAGGTATCTCGCTACAGCATCGGCCGTGAGCCCACGTCCGCCATAGATGAAACAGTATGTCATTGACGCGACCATGATACCGCAGCTGTATCCAGCCGGTTGGGCGGGCGACATTAACCTTTCAGTGCTCACGTGTGTCGGAAACGGGTGTTCTTCGTGGCGTGTCCCTTCGCATTCTAACTGAGAATGCCATTCTCGTAGATATGGCAGCATCTTACTCGTCCATATTTTCTCCATTTCTGGTCTGTAAGATGCGGTACATATCAGATCATACATGCACACTACCATCGCACCTTGTGTGTACACCGAAACCACAATGAGCGGTCAGTGGCATCCCTCGATGTTGACGGGTAGAACGATGATTTTCATCGAGAAGAGCTTTGATCGCGGTGGAGACGGAAACTTCTCGCTGCCGACCACAATCGACGACACTGCATGAACGCCTATTTGGTTGCATGTCATGACATCCAGAGAGTAGATCAACACGGCATCGCTCAGCCGCGCACGATCCGGAACACACCCTACCACTTCCTCAAAGTAAATTCTCTTTATCGAGTTTTTGTGGTAGAATTTAGTGCGCAGGTACAATGTATCAAAACCCGCATTGACCTCAGAGGCTAGATGCGCTACCCTCTGCTTTGATTCAGCTACTGGCTTACCCTACGATTCCGTCTCGTCAGCAGAATGCTCGGTGTGATCGGCAATCATCTTCTCGCGCTCCATCTTCGTGCTGCTGCTGCGCACACGCGGTTGCTTTGGTCAACAAGCTAGAGGTGCGGGGTGTTTCCACGACGCTACTCTCCTCTCTCTTGTTATTTTTAATGCCGGTCTCAATGTGGAAAACTTCGTCGGGCCAGCTCCACGGAGAGGCTACGCAAGCTGGAAGTCTTAGGAAGATGCGCATGCAGAATACTGCCAAACGCAGCTTGACGCGCACCCTCGTCACCAACGCCAACTTTGCCTTTCGAGGCATCTCCCAGCGTTGAATCTTTTCCGCCCTCGCACACACTCCTGTCTTGCAACCCGCGTAGCCGTTCGATTTTGGCGCTGTTTTTGGTTTGATATTCGCACAAATGCAGGGTGGTGTTAATAAAACAGCAATAAAATCAAAGCAACGTTAGCTTTAAGCAACGTTAGCTTTAAGCAACGTTAGCATCAAGTACGATACGAACTGGGGTCCTTACGGGCGACCTCTTCATCGACATGACACGCATCAGACTCAAGTTGGTCCAGGCATGCGCCTGGTGCACTTCTGGCGACAATGGTGTCACTACCACTAGCAAGAGCACGCCCTCTCCGGCCTTCGCTAGCACCCACTTCGCCTTTCGGAGACGTATCTATAGCGTAACAATGAAAATGGTTAATTGAAGAAAGGAATTTGGATATACACGCAATACACGAACCGTTGTCAGCCACGTCTACTGCGGCTTTGCTTTCGATAACCGGATCCGCACGAGTGCTAGCGACATTGGAGCTGTCGCTTGAGTGGCGCTCAATATCGTGAGCTAAAATTCATCCTGTGTTAGCATAGAAAGGTTTATCGAACCATCGCACAGCATTTATCTGTTCGGGCTGGACTAGGCGGGGCCCCAGCAAGCTGACCGCCTTCTTCTTTAGCGTTCCCTCCCGTATCCGCAGGCCGGTTTTCTCCGTCGTTGTTGCGCATGGTGCTCCGCCGTTGTCGTGTTCGCGCTTTCTCCTTGTTGTCGAAAATGAGCGGTTCGCAGATCTCGAAACTAAACTGCAATTTATACCGATACTTTACCGGTTTATTTATCTTAGATGAAATTTGTTTTCGTTTTCGTCTGTGAATTTCACAAAAGCCGGACGACGTTAATTCTGCAAAAAACGACGTTATGAACATAAGCGCTTCGCCTCTTGACGTTGCATGAACCACTTAGGTTTACTTATTCACTGAGCTACCCGTACCGTATATTGTTGCATGTACTTTGTCTGGATCCGCCGGCAATGGCCGACGGCTAGTCCGTTGCTAGTAGATGATTACTTCTCGGATGCGACTCGGTAGACGCTTTGCTTTGAAGAGATCTCGCTGCTGTTGCCACATGAGCCGGGTCATGGGGATGGTATTTTCCGAGACCGTGTAAGTGAGCAACGTTGGATCTGCCAGCGGTGGCGGAATCTCCACGGGTGGAGTCGCCACACGCTTAATCTTGTCCAAACGGAACTTGTGACCGATCCTGGATGTGAGTCCCAGATGCGAAGCCTTAGTGCAGCCGCATCCTATGGTAGGTCGTCCGATGGCAGCTTCCGAGTCTTCTTTTGATGAAGCCTTGCGTTCGAAGGAAAAGTGGACTTGTGAAGCATTGCATAGGTGGTTTCACTACCTTTAGCTATCCTCATGCCCCTCACCGGGAGCAGCGAAGCTTGAATGGTCTTCTGTTTGCGAAGGTCGGAGCTGCTACTAAGCTTATTCGAATCGAATTGCGATCGAGGGGCAAGAGCTTTTCTCTGTTTGAGTGAATTTGCGGCTGCAGTCGCAGGTGCATCCGGAGAGAGCTGTCTGCCAACCCCCCTGGGCAGTACTAAGTACTCGTCGAGGACTTAGTGCTGCAACAGCAGCAACTCGCTCTTACGTGCGCTTTGTGAGGGATAATGGTGAGTGTGCAAAAAGAAAACATTATAAACACACGACCAGGCCTGACCAACACAGCAATGCCGGGAAGATTAGAACACAAAAAGACAAAAACCAATTGGGCTGAGTGGCCTTTTTAGTAGCTCAGCGCTTGTACCACAGGACTCATCACGGCGCATACTGTACCTTGGACGGCACAAAGTACCTCATAAGTGATCGTAAAAAGTAAGAGTGAAGTAAATGAAGTTGAAGTATCTGTAATGTAACTTATAATTAAAGTAACGTTAGGATCGTACTACTTTTTGCAATCGTCCTGCATATCTACTCCTCGTATCCTCCAACGGTGTCAGCACCGAGGACCCCGTCTCTGTAGTCCAGAAGTCGCTGGTGCGCGATGCCCGGCTTGAGTCTGGAGAAAATCCCTTCAGAAGAGTTATGCGCAGGAGAGCTGATCGAGTACTGCAGTTGTCGTTATGTGTGCGGCGATTCGTGGGGTCTTCACGAGTCTATCGTCTTGGCTGTCGACAACAACCCAGACAACTTTCTACCCGTGAGTCTCGATACCGGGGAGGCGTTGCCCCTTTCAAACTTTATGCGTCGTCGACGGGACAGTGCAGGCAACGATCTAAGCATCGAGGTGGTCAAGTGGCGGAAATTGAGAGCGTACAAGCTAAAGCCAGGAAAGGCCCGGCGCCCTACCCAAGCCAGCGCACTCAGAAAAGCTTTAAGTGCTGCAGTCGATGCAGTGCGTGAGGCCCTGCGAGCTGAGTCTGCGGAAACATCTTATCGACACCCCAAAGGCGGCGAAGTCAATTTAGCACGCAGTGACCGATTATCTAATCATGAAACAGCCCCCAGCTCTCTGTAAGCTGTCGTCAATACGCAAACGAAATGTGGAGCAGCTGCAAAAGGTAGTGAAGAGCACACTGTATGCGAGGAATTTCAAGATGGAGACTTGATTGACCTGACGTGTAGCCAAAACGATGAAATCGTCGGCGGTGATGATGCAGCGGTTTCCCCTGCTTCGCACACCACTTCTAAAGAAGGTCCTGGAGTTGGAGAAGACGGGTGGGAGAATAATCGTGAACGCGGAAAGCGTTAAAGATAGTGTTGACGGGGATCCGACCGATGCGAACTTCTTGCAGCCGATACCTACATCAGTTCTGTTCCTACACGTTGGATGCGTGAGAAGATCCGCCATCAAGCAAAGAAAAGAAGCGGTACGTGGTCTGTGCCTCGCTCACGCAAACGAAGACACCAAAAGAGGTGCGCAATCACACGCAGTGGATCCCAGATCTACCATACCCACTCTTTTAAGGCTCAGAAAGCGAAGACCGTGTTGCGGCTTCCTGGGGTTAAATATAGGCTGCGCAATTTGCATGCTCGACGACCAATTTACGTCGAGGCTACCCCGTCAGAAGTCCAATGGCCCGAGGGAGTTGGAAATATCAACGAATGTCTGAACCCAACAGGGATAACATTCAAGGATATAGGAGATTGCGGCCTCTGTGGCTGTAGGGGGGATTGCTTCATGGACAGTTGCACAAATGTATTCTCGGCAGTGTGCTGTACACCTGATTCATGCAAGTTGAACGCAATTTGTAGCAGCTCACCTAAAACTCGATCCACCCTGAAAGTGTACGACACTGGCCGTGTAGGCTTTGGTGTGTTCACGACCACCGAGCTAGACGTCGGGGATGTAGTTAGTGAGTACGTTGGCATGCTGTGTGAATACAAAGGCCTAAGAAAAGGGCAACCAAATCAAGCGCTGAAACAAAACAGTGGCTACACCATGCTATACAGCAACCTGTCGTCTACCGGCAAATACGTGGAGGCACTACAATATGGTTCGATAACCAGGTATATCAGTCACGCGTGTGAGCCCAATGCTGCCTTCGTCGAAATGCAGAACAGATCACACATAAAGGTGTTAGTGAAAATGATAAAAGACGTGAAAGCAGGCGTCCAGATAACGGTGAACTATGGATCGCAGCGGTGGTTCAAGTGCGCGTGTGATGTTTGCTGGTTCCAACAAGATAACGAGATTGAGGGCGACAAGTCTAGCTAGAAGTAGACAGATTTCGCTCCATAAAAAGGGAATCGGAGGTTTCCTCGTATGAATTGAGCTCATTAAGACAACGGGAATAGATAAATACCAATGGTAATAAACGACGTGAAGATCTACGACTTCTGGACACATGTAGACTACATGTTAATATGCATAATGAGGAAAGTTTTTTTTTTAACTAAAACAAATAAAAACTTATGTGCTTCAAAAGGCAAGTGTTGACGATATATCGATGTATTCACTTTAAAAGCAACGAAGATGGGATCAATGCCTCACGTAGATAATGTGCTTCTTCATCAGTCTGGATGAACGGGACAAATTTGAGGGCATACTTAGACCTCATGGGCCTTCTGGGTTACTGATAAGAAAGTGCTGGGCCTGCAAAAGGAGGGAGCCCGACCGTGTTATCCTGGTGATTGCTTCCCCGCTTGCGCTTGTTCCTGTTTACTAACACCTTTCTTCTTCTGCAATCAACTGAAGCGGTCGTACGCAGTGCGTACTCAACGTGTACACACACACCGAACGCAAAACAGTAGCCGCACGGACACCACTTCGACAGAAGGGAAACGGTCCAGCCGCCCCATGGCTGGCCCTCAACTTCCATTTTAACGTAATTGACGCCCATCTGAGCCGATACCGCTATTTCCTCCTCTGTTCGTTTGTGAGGTGAAACTTGAACACGCTTCGCTAATAAGGACACCACACGAAGCACAAGAGGTCCCCTAGTATACGCATGTGAGGCGCCATGCCTTGAGCTGTCCTTATCAGGATAGCTCACACCATTTCGGATGCCCTACGTGTGAGGGTCTCTGGTGCTGAGATGTCGAAGCTGAACGGGCGAGCGGTTTGTGACAGATCGTGGCAACAACCACTAAGTTCCCGCAGCAGCGTTCCCATCTTTAGTCTGCGCCGTAGAGTGTAGTCTCTTTTCAATAATGCATTGAATGTTTCAGCTGGGTTATTAGTGGAGGCGAATCCACAAGGAATGCGGAGCGCCTGCCACGCTGAATATTTCCCATACAACCACTGGTCCTTCATGTAGCCCGCAAATCCACAGGGGTGTACATTGGAGAGCCACGTGGCGTAAACTTGCTCCCCCCAGCTGGAAAAATTGGGGTTCATCGCGCACGAAGTGAAGATCGTAGATAGAACGAATTATCCCAGCCGAGACAATCGAGGGAAAACCCTTAATTGCTTTCATAACGTTTTTAAAAACATGAAAAAACACATTAGAAACTGAAACTCAGGGCGGTACATAGCGTTATACTGCGCTTTGTCAGCGTCGGCCATGACATAACGCACTACTAGCTCCCTCTGGTCTAGAACGTAGGACATTCGGCGTAACGATAACAGAGTAGTTTCAAATACCGCTTGAGTTTCTTGTGATACTATAAATATAGCAACGACGTGAAATCTGCCGGCGCGGTCAGAGATGCCGACGACCACGACTAGATGCCGCGATGATTGTGCTTGTAGGTTGCGTCGATTTGTAAAATTAAAGCGTGAGGTGGTTGTAGCATTCGCAACATCAACGCCTTCGCAGATATTCCAACAGCGAATGGATACTCGTCGGAGTCGTCTCCGACTATAGGTTCTCCTTCACGATCAAGGTCCCATCCAAATGTAAACGCCTGACCCATACCTTTGTCTCCACGAAAAGTCCTCGAATGTACCCACTCCCTTATCCCATCGACAAGGTTGTTGTTCTCCTAATGAGTTTGACTATAGTGGTTTATAAAGTTCTGGAATACACGGAGTGGTGGTAGGTTCTCTAAAGGCGTCTGAAACTTTCTGGCAAGCGCGTGTCCATTCGCAAAAGCCGCAATTTGTGCTCGGCTATCTCTTTGCAGTACGTCTTGTGAGACGACGTGAGCTTTTTCTTTTTCGGGGACATGGCTTCCGTCCAATGCGCGCCAAACTCGAATACAGAGACGTGGTTGGTGGCGAGGTATATTGGCATCTTTCCGAGCCACGTGCAGGGCAGCTCGGAGGCTTCACCGCATGAGTCGGAGCTGCACTGCATCAGCATGTAGCGCATCTTGTGTACCTCCGCGTCGTTGCACACTGTACACGCCATTGTATTACTCTTTCCCATATCGAAGGTCTTTAGTGCGTCGAGATTCTCGACGCTCTCGACTCGAGAATAAGCTCCGCGTCACGCGCGTCAGCGGCGAGCACACGCTCGGTCCAGGGAATACGCTTCGGCATTTTAAACTTTGCAGCGCAAACAAACTCTAAGCAGTATTTATAGGTCCACCCATTTTTTAATGAGAGCAAATTTTAGTCGACATATACTTGCTAGGTGATACGTGCTTGTGTAAACCTGATTGGCTGCTTCTAATCTTCCTGATTGATTTACCTGTATTAATACATACAGATAATAGACGGGAGGTCAAAGACAGCCCATTTATTTGTGCTGCTACCGTAATGTTTGGTGCTGCCCAGGGTTTATGGTGCTGCAGAGAGTCTATTATATAGTGCCGAAAACGTAATGTAATGTGAAAGTGATACAGTCTGTCCTTTTTTGTTTTCATGTACCGAACACCAAGTAGGTAAGCTTACAAATAACAAGTCAGTTTCTTTTTTCTTGGCTTCAAGAGTGATGGTGGATAAGCCCATCACCAGTGTCTCTGCTTTGTCTGGGTTCCGAATTCCCATCTCCGGTGCTTGGAATTTGTATGTTTCTTACAAAAATCAAGTAACGTGTCAAGTGGTCTAAGCTCCATTGCGCGGCATCTAGTAGAGTGTTCGCATCCATTGGACCACGACGCTGTATTATTGCTTGCGAGAGCTAATAGGCGTCACGCTTATGCCGGTGCCATCGACTTCAAGTTTGCCCTAGAAACGCGAAGCCAGCAAACATTTTGTGCGCCACAGATGTATAAAAGATCCTTTTGACTACCATAATTTATGCATTTTAAGTATCCTGCTATGTTTCTGTCTTAATTATACTTGTGAGCCTGTTAAAACACATATCAATTTTCATATCCGGCTTCGTGCTGAGCAATCAAGCTTCACTGAGCCGGGAAGATCGACGGCACGCTTTGCACGGTGCCGCGGTCCGTTGTGTAGGTCTCACTCCGCAATTTGACACGAAGAACTCAAGCCCTCGCAAAGAAACCAGCAACTGCAACCATGGCCATCGGCAAGTCTCTTTTCCGCAAGCCTGTACACGACGTCGAGGTGCCTAAGCACAAGGGACTTGCGCTCCTTGGCTTAGGGCGCCACCACCACAAGTCCGATGTGACAGTGAAAAACACCCCTTCGTCGCACCGTGTGACCCGCAAACACAAGCGCAGCTACACTGGCCGCCAGCAGCCGCAGATCGAGTGTGGCTGCAACAACAGCGAAGAGCAGCCGCATAAGCATGCAAATTCCTCAGTCTATGACCGCTGCCTCAGCGATGCCATGACCCTCAAAGAGCGCCTCCGCCGTGACAGCTCCAAGCCCGCCACACGATTCCGCCTCGCGGTCATGAAGCGCGTGGTCGTGCCGCCTGTGTCTATCCCGAAGTCGATCGCCGAGCACCGTGGCAGCAAAGACATCGTGGGCGGATGCCGTGTGCCATTCACGCGCTGCATGTGGGAAACCGAGAAGATGCGCCAGCAACTCGTGCTACGTCGGCTGTATATGCTCCCGATCCTGCGCGAGGAAGCTAGTCTCGAAGCGTAAATGGCTCACTCCTACTTAACAAGAAACACTAGTGTAAATATTAAACAAATACAAAGAAATCTATGAAGAAATGACTCTGAAGCTTTGTTGCATTTCGATTGTGTGTATTACCTGGTGGTACGGCGACGTAGCTTGGGACTACAGGTGAATTTAGTTCATGGAGCTGATAAATGTAGCCATTGGCCCAGTGACTGGGAGTGTTTCTGTAAGTACCGGTAGTTTCCACTCGGGTGCAATTGCTTAAGCACAACTGGAAAACGCGTGTCCATGCTAAAAAAAACTCGCAAGAGCTGCGCCGCACAGAAAATATCGTAAATGCGAAACATTGTTTACTGTACTGCCCGTCGTCAGAATCGAATATCCAGGGAGAGTGTGGTCTCAAACGTCGGGAATCGGTTGCCAACGGTACGTATCCATACCACAAATCGGCTCTCCCATAGAACACGCCCGCTTTTAAGAAATAGTTTTCTAAATTAAAGAACACCTCATTTGACGAACTAGATTTATTCATTTCTAATTAGCTGACTTGGGTGGTGCGTCCGCTTGCGATCTCATGGCGGCGTCGCGACCTGGACCTGTCTGTGGCGCTGCGCTCGATGGTATTCGTGAACGAGACGGTATCGTTGCCGCCGAGGCAGTTGGTGTCTGTGGCTTTGGATCGCGCGTCTGCGTTGCTGGTCGGCGCTCTGGACGTGCAGAGCGTGAGCATGGCTAGCCTGGCAGTTCCTCGTTGGAGCGATTTCGTGCTGCTGCACCGCGTGAAGAACGGTGGTGAATGGAAAGTGTCGGGCAAGTTGCAGTCGAGCGATGCGAGGTGGCTGAAGACTGCGGAGGTGGTTCTGGCGCCGCGCACGGCCAAGTCTCAGGCTAGCCAAGTCTCAGGCTGTGACGGTGTAAACGAACGTGACACTGGTGGACGCGGTGTCGTCGCAATCCGTGGTGGTGGAGGTCTCTCACTTGGTCCGGAGCATACCGGACCCTCGGTCTCTGGTGTCGACTGCACTGCTGCAGCCGATCGTGGTGGAGAACCGGGAGGACGAGCCTGCGTTGGTTTCGATGGCGGACTTGGGCGCGTTGGTCCGCCAACGCGACTGCAAAATGAGTTAAACTGTGTGCCAGTGGGGGCTGTAGCGGGCGTATTTTCAATTCGTATACTAAAACGAAGTGTAGTGGTTACGGGGTAGTGTTCAATTGGGCGGGAAAGCGGGCGTGAGTCTCGCACCAAGCCAATAATGTGGTACACACATGTAACATTGTTTGTTCAGATTTAATTTTATTTTCAGATTTAGAATTAATCTGTCAGATTTAGAAAAGCGGGTGTGTTCTATGGGAGAGCCCACAAATCGGCTGTCCGAGTCGGACACGGTGGATTCAATCCAGCTCGCCTCTTGTCTGGTGCAAATGCTCTTGTGTCAATAAATATCCTTGGTAAATCGAACAGGATAGTACTGTATCTCGTTTCAAGCGTCGATGCCGGGCCATGGAATTGATCCGTGGCGTCAGCTTTGACAAATGCGACAGTCTTCGCAATAGACGAGTCGAGGAACGAGTGGAGGCAAAAGACAAAAACACCACAGCCTCAAGTGCAGTCCCTCCTTCCTCGTCTGCCTACACAACCACTTTCGAAGCAAACGTCGCGATTAAACCGATTTAGGATCGTCATGGCCATCCCCAAGCCATTGGCACACGCGCCTATCGTCAAACATGAGCCTCCCCAGCACAAGCGAGGCCGTAGTCTGGTGTTCCTGGCCCACCACGGTGGCATTGACCTGACCCAGGCTCCAACGACAACCCGGCATGCTAAGCACAAGCACCATAAACACAAACACTGCCATCACTCCGACCACAAACACCACCGGCATCGCACGTCGGTGTCGGCCACGCCTGTGTACGACCAGTGCCTCGAGGAAGCGATGAAGCTCAAAACGCGCATTCTCGTCGAGCACCGGGAGCGTCCCACGCGGTTCAGGTTGAGCGTCATGAAGCGCGTTGTCATTCCGCCCGTCAACATTCCGAAGAAGCTCGCGGTGCGACGAGGAAGCAAAGACCTCGTATCTGGCAAGCGCGTGCCGTTCACAAAGGCCATGTGGGAGACCCAGAAGCGGACATACAGCAAGACGCACGGCCTACCCGTCATCCACGAGCGATAGCAGCAAGCAAAATGATTTATCTATTCAATAGATTCACTAGAATGCATGCACCTGATACTCTAAACTTTTAGGGAGTCCTTCTTCCGCGTTGTCAACCGTGATCACTTCCACTTTTTCACTCTTTCACATTTCACTGAAATTTCACGTGAATCTATTGCCCTCATTGAGCTCGCCCGAGCAGTTGGTTGACAATGCGGTACGAGAAGCAAGTGAGAGCGGATGGTGCCGTACTCCTGGACGACGGCAGATGGTACATTGAAATACAGCGAGTCGCGCAACAAACAGCAATTGAGTTTCTCAGCCGCTCACTTTGATCGGTTCAGACGCCCCGACGGGTTCTAATTCCGAGTACAGTGGTCTTGTTGAAGAGTCTTTGCGGTACTTCGACACGAGTGGGTTCTCATTCAAGACTTCTCCGGCGGCGAAGCGTGTGGCAGCATATCCGACGGCGCCATCGATCGTACGATCCGGAAGGGGCGTTGAAAACGGACTCTACATTTCCAATTTGGTGCTGCGTGTGGGGCAATGACGATACCGGTTTTGGCTAGTGTAGAGGTGGTAGCTCGTCACTTCGACGCGCTCGGTGCACTCGAACACGTAGAGCGGAGCATCAGCGACTTCAGCGACTATTCCAAATTCTGGACCATGACTAGAGCGGCTGCTGTCGGAAATATTGTGCTGCTGCGACGTCTGCACGCTGCTGGAGGCAATACGAAGGACACTTTCTCCACACGTGACGTCGAGCGAGCGATCGAGCTGGCGGCGACGAGCGGACACCTTGAAGTTGTGCAATTTCTGCATTCCAGCTACCCCCAACGCGGCAGGACGTGGTGTCTGGAGCTCGCGGCCTCGAACGGCCAGCTGGACGTGTTGAAATGGCTTCACGAGCATGGTGATGGCAAAGATTGCCTCACCATGTCGGCTTTCGACGATGCTGCGGAGAACGGACACCTCGAGGTGGTCAAGTGGATGCACGAGAACCGGTCGGAGGGTTGTACGACGCGCGCAATGGACTGCGCTGCACGCAGTGGGAGATTCGACATCCTGAAATGGCTACACGAGCATCGACAAGAAGGATGCACCACACAAGCGATGGATTGGGCGGCGCGAGCGGGGCATCTGGAGGTGGTACAGTGGCTGCACTTGAATCGACGTGAAGGATGTTCCACCATGGCGATCGACGCCGCAGCTTCCAATGGCCACCTGGAGCTTGTACAGTGGCTCCACGAACACTGCAGCATGACCTGCTCCTGTTTCGCTTACACGGTGGCTGCAGAACGAGGCCACCACCACGTGCTGGAATGGATCGGACAGACCGAGCACAACAATGATAGCTGAACTGCAAGCTGCTGCAGCAGCGACTACAGCTAAAGCTTTTAATCTGCATGTTTGTATCCTAATGAAGTCAATCTACATGCTCGAAGCTGAACTCGTCGTTGTCAGTGAGAGGCTGTAAAGGCGATAGGAAACCAGCAGACGCTGTTAAGACGCCACTGCAAAACCCAAACTTCAAGTACCCTTGTAGTCTTCTTCGACGCCGACCTTAAAAATAATAGTCAATAGCACTGGCAATAAAGGGGAAATACTCGCTTAGCCTTCGAATACTGAGAAATGAGCACGTAGAACCTGCAGCTGCAATTGCATACCGGTGCCGGTATCCACGCTACATGTACCGGTATATCCTTTATAATCTTGATTACGAAGTTTATTCCCGCCTTAACAAGCAACATTCTCATCACGCAACTTACCACCACAACTAGAGTCAACCTAATTTTTCAACGTATGAGCAGGGTTCGCCAAAACCCAGCTTTTCGGATTTGAGTGGGTGGGTAATGATTTTTTTGTGGGTGGGTGGGATAAAAAAACTGGGTATTATCTGTTGGATGACGTCATTTATACAATTATAAAAAAACTGTGTCACCTCAGAGAAATATGGAGCGGTTACAGATGCTTTAGGGCGGTTAAAGAAAATATAGATGCATATAACCAAGTTTTGGGGAGGGCCAAGGGAGAAATGTGCTCTAATGACAACTGGTGGCGGTTGGGGTAGCTCGTTTCAGCTGGTTAGCCGAAAGCGGGTATTGTAGCAAATGACCCGCTTAAGGTGCCGGCGCACTAAAGATGCATGGGCGAAGACGCGGCCGCATCGAGTGCAGGTAAAGCCAGTCATGGTACTTGCGTACTGCGTCAGCTCTATCGTTCTTTCTTTATTTTTATAAACCCAGAAAACCCAGCCTAAAAAAAGAGTCGGTGGGTGGATCGTTCAATATACCCAAAACCCAAAAATTCCAAAACCCATTTTGCGAACGCTGACCATGAGCTTTCTGCCCTTGGAAGACCTGAACCCGACGCTGACGGACGTGCTGGCGTTTATCGACGACTTTTCCAGCTCCGAATGCGAGCAGAGCAGTCCACCGACCTCCTCTTCTTCGGGCCCACACGCGCCCAGGGACGTGAGACGCAAGAAGAGCCGCGCCGCCGCCTCTCGCCGCTTTCAACACAAGAAAAAAGCGGAACTACTGGAGCTGCGAGAACAAACCGCCACACTTAAGAAACGGCTCCAGGAGCTACGAGAAAAAAAAGCCACACAGAAGAATAAACCTCTAGACGAGATCCAGAAGAGGACTGTCGGGAATACATGGCTGTCAAGAGTCGAGCTGAAGAGAGACCTGAGACTCGTGGCGGAGGCGCAGAACCGACACCTCAAGACGCTCTTGCTGAGGCAGAAACACACGGCAAGTGCAGTCCGACATTTGCTACAGAACATCGCAGCCGTAGTGGTATGCTATAGTATTTTAATTTTTTTAATTTTTACTTAACTCACTTTTTTTTATCAGCATGTTGAGGAGGGTTTGCGAACGCCCCATCCTGCAGCTGCTGGCTTTGGCCGCTTTGTACCGAGTCTAGACGACGCTATTTACAGCGAATTGGCTTCCAGAGTGGGCGGTTTGTACCTGGATGCCGTCTCGACCACAGACCCTCTGCAGACCAAGTTTATTCCCAATAAAGCCGAGACCATTTGGGACCCCGTGTCCGGTGTGCCGTATATAGAGGTGAAGGTGTCACTGCCAGTGCCATTGAGTTTCCAAGACACGGCCAAGATCGCACAGCGAGCGAGAGCTCAGGACGAGAAGCGATACGTGAGTGTGGTGCTTGCAAAGGTTTTTTATTTGCGTATTTTAACACCTTGCGTCCGGACGGTACTTGCCCAGAACGCGTAAGCGCATGTCGTAAGATACGGTATATCAATGTTACTACGTATTTGTATGGGTGCACTTTTTGACGTGAGGTTAGGTGTATTAATTTTCATCAGGTTTTTCTTTCAATGTCGTAACTCTGACGGGATTCAGCGACAGTATTGCCTGCTCAATGTCGTAACTGACGTCAACAGATGGCTAAATTGCTTCACAGGCAGTCCACTTAAAGCAAGAAACGCAAGGACGAAGGTACGGTGGTTCAAGAAGCTGTGTATTTGAAACAAATCACTAATCGGCTGACACGCAACCAAGCTCACTCGTCATCACTACCATTCTCGTTGTCACCACCGTTGCCGTCGTCGCTGCCAGCATCGTGCCCAAGTCGAAGTTCCCGTCGCGTCTTCTTTCTTTGGCCAGCTTTCTGGCCGGGCCGACGGAGCACAATGCGCTTCCCTAAGTTTGGTGGGATAGCTTGCCCGGCGTCGAAGTCATCATGCCAGATATCATAGCATGTCTTCGCAACGCCCTTGTATTCCCGTCGAATACGGTTGTACAACCAGCATTTCGCATTATCTACGGAGCAGCGTTCGCAAAAGAACGTTGTTGCGAAAGACTTCTTCATTTCAGTACGCAAGAGCGCGCAGACCTTGCACGATCTCTGCCGGCGTTTCTGGACCCCAGTAACGGTAACCCAATCTTCAGACTGCTGCAGCGCGTGCGTGAGGCGTACTGGGGTGCGCTGGCGCTTTTGGCTCGCAGGAGGCGGTGTTGCCTCCACTCCAGCAAAATCTTCGGCTTTGAGTTGGAGAAGTTGATTTTGAAGGACGCAAAACCACTCTGAGCGCTTCATAGCAGCCATCCCCTTGATCTTGGCCCCCTCTTTGTGCGTAAGATACGCATTTACCATGACCATGTCCAGCAAACCTAAGAATAGGCTCTTATAATATTTCGTGAGCCTCGTCGACATTTGCAGTGAATACGACTGGAGACGGAGTTGATCGTGGACATCAACTCCGCTCATCCAGTTCTGGTAGTCATTTACAGCAGAGGGGCACGGCACTCGAACCGCACCGATACGTTTTATTTTTCGCTCAATTGTCGACGCCGCCATAATGGAGCCCGTACAGAGATAATAGACGGGCTTCCGGTCCCACCAAACACAGGAAATCATGGTCGGGATGGCGATAGAGCGAGAGAACGAGAATGTACCGTGGGGTATGCTCACTGGGCGTGTCTTGCTCGTAGCCCTGAGATTCGGGTTGAATCCAAGCCGGTTAGTCATGATCGTGCCAATAACATACACCTTCATACTCAGGAGCTCAATCGCAAGGAGCACGGACGAGTAGTAGCGATCAATCACGACGGTATGCCACTTGTGACGAGACTGGGCGAGAACAAGCTTCAAATCCCGTACCACGGCTGCAGCTCCAGTCTTAAAGTCAACTGCGGTGTCAGGTCCACCAGCAGATGCACGCTTACCCACAGAAACTTCGAACCTAGATAGTTACGACATTCACTGTTGTCAGGCAAACACAAAGTAGATAGTTACGACATACAAATTTTAAACGTAACTGTGGCAGTATGCCGTCTGCGCGTCACAGACCATAAATAGTTTGGACCCGTAGCGGTGAGGCTTGTCGGCCATGAACATCCGGGTCGTGTTCCGCTTCGACGTGGACGGCAGTATACCCTCATCAAACGAAAAAATAGCAGAAAGAGACCACCCCAGCAAAAAGCGCTCTTGGACCTTGTCACCAACGGGGCGAAGTTTCCAGAGTTTATCAGGACCGTGGTCAATCGTGTTGTCTACGAAGTGCAAGTCTCGCATGATACTCTGGCACCTGTCACGCGTCATGAACCGCCCGAAAAGACCGGCGGGAACAGCACCGTCTTCCACCATACTCCAGTGCGCACCAAATCGTTTCTTTTGAGGGCAGAGCATCCGTGCAACGAGGAGTCCAACAACGTGAAGAATGTCATGTGTAGAGTATGCTGCTTTAGCCTTCAAACGACGTGTAATCTGCTTAATAGTTTCACGCCGAAGGTCAGTCTGCCGTGCCTGAATGTTACGGGCGCGCTTGCCAGCTTGCTGTAGACCATATCGGATCGTTTCAGCCGCGATAGAAACCCACAGAGACTTCGGCATGAAATAAAAGAAGGTGAGGATTGGCGATCTCCATAATTGCAGCAGGTCGGGCACAGGCCTTGCTTCTTCGGTGCCCAGTCCAGGGTACGCAGCAGCATCTGTCTCGTACACCGAAGACACTGACGTCCACTGCATTCCTCGTAGTGTCTGCTCTCTCTCCTTTGCAGCGGTTCTGCTAAGTGCGTTATTGCCCACCTGTAGTTTCGCAATGAAAGCCTTGTCCATTTCAACTGCGTCACTGTCGGACAGGACGTCGTCATCTTCCTCGGACATTCCGGCTCCGGAATCGCTGTTAATATCACTCATGCCGTCGTCGTCGCTATCACCCGAGCTGTAGTTCTCGTAGTCACTCGGCTTCTCCCCATCCAGCAAAACATTCACGTCCTCTTTGCCTGATAACGGCGTAAGTGTCCGTCGTCGAGGTTGAGACGCAGCGGCTTCTTCTTCGTCTACATTACCCTCGGTCTCTAATCCAGAAGCCTCCGAAAGTAAATGCAGTCCAGCAGCGGCCTCGCGGGCACCGCCGTCTTGTAGATCTCCTGGGGAAAGATTGAATGCTCTGCTCACTGCAGTCTGCGACAGCTCGATGTCATCATCACTTGGGGTGCCGAACATTCGATCAATGGTATGCTGCGAAAGAAGGACGCTCGTGTCGATCTGGGAAGGCCGAACGACGTCTTCCCCCTCGTGTTGTTGCTCTTCACCACTACTACCAGCTCCTGCTTGGTCTAGTTCCCTACCTCCTTCATCTCGGACTTGAGCATCAGCATCCGCCTCTTCCAGCAAGCCACTGTCGAACGCGTAGTCCACGACTGATTTCTCCCCCACGAAGACGTGCGTGTTGTCAAAACTCGAGTAGCTCCACTCAGTCTGGAGGCCACTCGGACGCTTGGGCTTCCACCCCGCCGCCCGAAGCTGCCGCCATAAGTGGCCAAAGTCAATATCGTGTGTAGCGGCAGCCGGCACGGCGGGTTTCTCGCGTCGACTCTTCCGTA